GAGAGATTCCTTACTTGAGCATAAAAATATATGTATTTTATAGTTTATAGGGGTCCACCTCCTGAAACAAATCAGGGGATGCCCTATCTGTAGCCTAGTAAGTGGTCGATAGAGGGCGCTGCTATTAAAGTGTGTGAATTTGAGCCGGGTCAAATAAAATAAAATGTAGTTATTGTGCTGTTGGCAGCGTACATGGCTAGCTCTGGCTTTTACACATCCAGGGGCCCATCGTCTCATAATCCTCCTATGCATCCGAGAGTCCCATGACAATTCAAACTCGCCTCTATCTGCTGTGCAGGTGTTATGGTGTACGCTGATCCTCATGAGGGATTGCTCTATACCATCGAAGATTAGTAAGTAAAGGGACATGTGTGTTAAGTCCAGCCCTGTCTGCCTGTCATTATTTGCGGATTAGTGCTGGCCTGCACCCTCTTTGATGTGGACATCTTTCACACTTCCGTCCCATTGAACTCTAGGGACACGGTGAAGGGAATAGAGAGAACAGTGGATTGCAGAAGAACCGTTATAAACGGGAGTCATTTTCTGCTTTGTCTTGAACTGCAGGAAAACTTCCTGCAGGCCTAATGAGGAAGATAAAACATCACAACAATTACCGCTGCACATGTGAGCAATCACCTGGGAGAGGGCCCACACACATGCAAATTCACATATGCTCACAAAATAATATATAGAACATACATATATGCATTTCTGCACGCCCCTGTGCACAAACAGACACACATACTGTACACAGTCATATGTTCTCTCTACACACACACACAAAAAAAGCACACAGACAAGAATCATGTGACTCTCAATGATCCTGTAGGTTCTACTGCCCTCTGCAGGACACACATGAAAATAAATGTAGCCTATCACAGTATGGCACTAAACATCATATCCTAGCTTTTTCTTGAACTTTATTTATCACTGGAGGAATCTATAAAAAAAAGCAGTACTTTATTTTTTTAATGCACCAGATACATGGATATTATGATTTTAGTTTTAAACTGTGCTTTGTAGAGCTGATTCCTTTTTTTGGGTGTTCAACAGAGCAGCCTATCTGTGCATGGCCAGCTTGTAGCTGAGTGGAGCCCCTATACAGAGGCAAACACAAGGCTTCTTTCAGGCAGAGCGACTCCAGAGGCATATGAGGGCACTCAGTGTTCCACCCCGACCGCAGGATTTATTTACCTTCCAGCGAGGGGCAGCCAGTAAGAGGAGATGGAGTGTGCTTAGAGAAGGTATGGGGTGTAGAGTGTGTGTGTGTGTGTGTGTGTGTGTGGGTGTGTGTATTTGCTTGAGGGGCAGAGAGATGGACTGAAGTAGCATAGTGATTGTGGGACTGGGACACTGGATAATTCAAGATAGAATGTGGATGTCCCAAAAAAAAGTCACAAAACCCACACACACCCAAAATATACACAAAAAACCCCATTCTATTTCAGGTAGACAGCAATCTGGCAACCTTTCCAAAAACAATCATTACCTGTCTAAATCATCTACTGTGAGAAGACGGAGGTGGGACAGGGGATGTTTAAGAGAGGAGGAACATGGATGAGAGCCAGTAAAACTAAGGGGGCCGGGTTTCCTGTTTCCTTAGCCCCCTTCCTTCCCTTCCTTACACAGCACAAGTAGTCATTGAATCTGTGTCCACCCAAGGACACTGTGTGCATCTGTTGGTGCAATAGTTAGTAGTTTGATGGCATGACACTCTAAACCAGGGTCACCACTGAAGCAAGCGGTGCCAACTTTTACCTTAAACTGAATTTAAGTGAGCTACTCATCTATATAAAAAGTTCCAGGTTGATTATTGTGCACTGTGTACAGTACGTCATACGGCACAAATCTATTCATCCAGTATCTCATACTTTAAAGCCACAAAATTTTGGCCTTTTTTTTTCATTTTTGTTGGCATTTCTTTGTTGTTTGTAAAGAACATAAACTACAAAAGCCAAGAAAAGCTGTTGCAAGTTTCACAAGAGTTTGGGGATTAAAAAATCCGAATCATGAGCTAAAAAAGCTGCCCATTTTATACAAGGAGTTCTATTATCCAAACACTGAATTGTTTTTATGTCTCGTCAACAAAAGCTTCAAACACATAATTCATTTTGACGGGAAACGATTCTACAAATAGGGGTTTTCTGTCCGGAGAGAGGATGTTTGAGGCGATTACATCTGTATACGTGATTGCATTGAGCAGATTAGCACTGGAACAGGACATTATGAAGATTCAACTTGAGGAACCAAGTCAGAGCCGACTAGTTTATCTTAAAGTTAAGGGTAAGGAGAAAAAGACAACTGAGGGAGATTCAGAAAAATGGAATTTATCAGACTGATGTATGTGTCAGTGTTTAAGTCTCAAACATACTTCAGTCATACTTGAAACAGTTTGAGTTTTTTTGTAGTTAAGATAATTGATTATTTCTTATATATTTTTTCTTTTTATATTCTATATTTTTTCTTTGTCTTAGAGAAAGTTAAAGTCTCGGTTTATTTTGGATTTTCTTTACCTGTCAATAATCTGTGAATTTGAGTAAATTGCTTAAAGCCTCACACAGAGATGCAGAGTAGAAGGGTAAGAGCTTACTTCGTGTGTCTACTGATTGTTATTTTGCTTCTTTGTATTTTTTCATATGAAATCTATAACATGATGGGGTGTATTGGGGTAGACCCAGTTCCTGTCATTAGCGCTTAGGTCAACAACGGTATTGGCAATGGAAGCTTACTGAGTTAATCAGTCATCATAATCTAGAAACTTTCAAAACAACTTCCAATTAAAGTCCCATGCACAGTCAGAAAGTCATGAGTCAGAGGTGTTAGTTTATTGTAAACACAATTAGTTATGTTGTTCTAAAGAAAAACTATGTGTATCCTCAGAGCCAAACAACATGTTCTTGTTCAAACATTTACAAAACCTTTTAAAATGTTTGTTGAAACCTGTACTGTTTTCCTAAGGTCTGACTCTTGCATTGAATATTATGTGACATCATGTGTCAGTATAAGTGATACATGGCATGACTGAAGACTGACTTAAATATGTCTCCCCCTCTCATTTTGTACTTTGTTCTTGCATCTAAACATTTACAGTCAGCAGAAGTGTGCACCACATCACTCCTAAGTTCAAAGTGTGCATGTACTGTACATCCTTGTGCGGAGCTGGCAAAGACCTTAGAGAGACCCACTTATCAAACTCAGTGCTGTCCAGCCAAGTGGGCCTGGCTCCTCTGTGATTTATTACCAAGATTTTTTATCTTGCTGTGGGAGTATTCAGCATCAGGGAAATGTTTTTGGTTTGAGTCAGCTTGACCAACAGCTGTGAACTCTGAAGCGCTTTCTCTCGGGCGGGGCATGGAACACAGAAAGAATGCAGACTTGAATGGGCTCCCTGTTTCTGCCTTTTTTCTCCAGTTATTCCCACTCAGCCTTTTGGGGATCCCTGGGAACAGCATGCATTAGGATGTGGAGCTAGACTGAGAGAATGCAACTGAGTAAACGATCCAACATTAATCCCCATTTCATCCAATGTTGTTCTCGGCTGCTTTGCATTCCAGTGCTTACAATAATACATTGGTATGAAAGTAAAAATGTTGGCAGTGGAATCTGTGGAGGAGCAACGACTGTGTGTGCTGGTTTATCTTGAGTCAAGTTATCTACTGAAAAGTCTTTCAAATGATACCCAACAATGCATCTCGGTACATGTGGGCACAGCAGGAGAGATCAGCTTTCTCGGTCAATAATGTACGCACTGGGGAATTTATTACCTCATTGGATTACATTTACCATCACCACTGAGTGGACGTCCACATTAAAGGTGGCACATTTTCCCCTCAAACTGCAATGATGGAATGAAAATAGAACATAAGAAAATATGGGCTTGCCATCTTGGCCCGGACTAAGGAGCCTCCATGTTGTTGTACAATGTATAGTGTGTGCACACGACGTGATTGGTTGATGCCTTTATTCGCGGTGTGAAAGCTCAACCTCGCTCGTTACTTTTTCACTGCGAAGCATCCATGTTCTGTGTGAAAGTATTCATGACAAAAACATCAGTTAAAAAAAAAGGCCTTTACTCATGTTCTATGAGTTTACCGTTACTCAACATTGGATATTTTAACTGGTAATATCTCAGGCTAATTTGCTCCCCACTCTCATCCAGTTGAAATGTACTCTGAGAGGGCTGAACTGCATTCACAGTAAAGTGTTTAGTTTAAAACTTACACTCGGCAGTAAGCGGACACATTTACAACATGTTTCTTTGCAGTGTCACCGCTCTGAAGCCCTGCCCTCTTGCAGCCGCTGACACACCAGCAGCTTCTTCTCTGCTGCAGCTGCTCATTTAACGTTGATTTTGTTCCACTCTCTCTCTCTCTCAAACGGTTCGTCATAGCTTTCTGATGCAACTTTAGTTTTTTTTGTTATTAATGTATTATGTTTTGTTGCAACAAAACCTGCATGTTTTACACAAAGAAACTTTGTTAGCCAACAGTAACGAAAGTAAATGTGTTACTTCCATCCCCGACAACAGATGAAATACAAACACACTTAGGTCATGACATAATGAGAATAGACTACAACAAACACAGGGTCTGTTTGTACCAGAAACACTTCTCTACAATTGCTCCACTTCTTCTGCTGGCACGCATGGGCAGAGTAACGTAGTTCGTCACACTGCAAGATGACGTTGCATGCAAAATGGTGAGCAACTGCTGGTTTTATTTTGTATTATTGAACTGCTGAAAAAACAATCTTATGTTTGACAGACACAGCATATACACATGAAAGAAACTACTAATGGCTTCAAAGCTTCTACGCATCATTTTGGAACAAGAAAATAATTGTAATTATTTCAATAGAAGAAACTAACATTTACATGTGTGTGATACATTTGTAGTTGCTTAAGCATAGTCCTTTGACCCTTTGTTTCTTCTGGTAACTTATTTCTAATAGTAAACACTGAGAACTCATAACTTTGACAAACTGCTTCTGTTAAATAAAGCTGTAGACTTACTCAAATAGGATTTAAGTCACAACAATGAGGACTTGAGACTTGTATCCCTAAAAGCAAAATATTGGTATCTCAGGTGTTGACCTGGTAAAATCAAGACTTGCATAGCCACATCACATGAACAGGCTATGTATGTATTAGGCCTATGCATTAACAGGTCTTGTTCTCAATCAGCTATGGAAAAATCACTATTAAAGAGCTTTTGGGAAAAAAAGTTCAAATATTTTGGCATTTGAATTGTTCCATTCAGAGACCTGAAAGACTTGCAGTTAACTTGGTTTAGCTGATGAAGAGACCGGGACCTGAATTGAGACTTGCTTTGACAAGAATTGAGACTGGACTTGCCATAAAATCCTTTAAAACAGCTCTGCTGTAAATATATTTCCACCATGAAAACATTTAATTCAAGTTAACAAAAGCATCATATCCCCATGAAGGTTGAACCACCATCGTATACAGTCAAACACATATCTTTAACAACTCTATTGCCACTCTGGGTGTCTAAATTGGTTGAATGCATAAACTGACTACGCTCATTCTCTCAGCTGAACTTGGTATTTCCTAGTATTCCCTTTTTGGCTTAAATACGTCAGTAGTGAGTTTGGGCAACGCAAGGCCTGCCAGTCATAATGTATTCATATGTATGTTTTAAACACTGAGTTAGTATAAGCCCCCTACTATATGTACCTCTAATGCATATCCCTTTCCATGAGCAGCACGGCAGTTTCCGCAGCGCTTCAGCCAAGCTGAACACAATGCTACCATTGAACTAGGGCCACAGTGGATACTTTTATATATACCATCAAGAGTGATAGTTAACGCAACAGCACCTGGGCTTCACTTAAAGTGATAGGCCACATTAATGCAGTTACATATGAGCATCTTGTATATTAGTTGGCACCAAAAACATCAACATACACAAATCTCACGACTAATACATTTACAGGGGGCGTATTTACAATGTTGCTGGTTTTAATATTTCTGGTGATTTTTTTTCTTTGAGTTGGGCGCTGACAACTCCTTGCACAATAATGCGTGTCCAAGAACACAGAGTTTATAAGTACAGAATACATTACTACTCTGCCTACTGGCTTTAAGGAAAAGCAACACTTGTATGATAAAGACACATGTAGGTATCTGAAGTAAGATATTTATTCCATAGCTACTCATTTTATACAACCTCATGTGTATTATATATCCATCTTAATTGGCCTCTTTTTTATGGTATATTGAGAATTGCTTTAAATGGCATTTTGGTTAAATACATCAAAGATGATTCTGTATTTTCACAGTGACGTATGAATACTCCTCATGAAGACACCATGAATTGCAATGCCACATTCACTTCACCTGAGTCGGATATGTAAAGCCCTATGAGAGCACATCAGGTCTAATCTAAATAAATCGATTCTGTCAGTTTCCTAGTTGAGTACAGATGTATCAAAATACAGGTTGAACTGGGCAGAATGAAGTACTAGCGTCATAAACCCTATGAACAGAAACATCTTCTCTTTCAGACACACACACAAAACAAAACACAACACGTATCCCTTTCACTGTAGTTTATCCCTGAATGTCTAAACATGATCAACTATCAATACAACCTTCCAAGTCAGGCTTGACATCTATGCTTATTTCATTTTAAATGAAATACAAAGCGCCACACAAAGCTCGAGTACCAGGCTTCTCGGTCAACGCAGTATGTAAATAAATACTTTCTTTCTCAAGTGGCTCTTCATTTATCACAATGAGGCACATCATTGGTGAGTATGAATATTATTTTATGGCCCAAATTTTACTGTCGGCAGTAAAACATGTTGTGTCTTTTACGGCACCTTTGCTGACTGGTTTTGGTCTGTGCAGTAATGGCTTCTCCTGGCTCCGGTCCATCGCATGCAGCGATTTGCAAATCCACAGCTACATTTTTGACCTCTCGATTAATGAAATAGTTTCTCTTCAAGCAAACTGATGGACTTATTGATCAGTGTCTTTTCGTCATCCACAAATCTGTACCCAAACAGCTTCATGGTAGGACCACACACTCTCTGCACTACCTGAGCCAGTGTGAAGGGAATGCTAAATCTCCATTTCTCTGCCTGCTCTGATGAGTTCTTCTGCGTGGAGTAAATCCCGCTCGCTTCCCGTGTGGTCTGGGTGTTCCTCAGTATCCACTCCCTAGCTTGGGGACTAAATGGTATCCCTGTGAACCTGTACATCTCCTCTGCCTTCTGCATGGGGTAGCGGGCAATATCCTCATAACGCACCAACATGTAGCGTCTCCTCAGCCAGCGAGGTCGGCTTAGTCCCACCTCTGCTGACATCCTAATCTGGTCGCAGTTGCCTTTGAGCCTCTTCACCTCCTCATCGTCTTCGGGGACCTGGCCGTCCTGCGCCCAGGTCTTCCACGTCTGGTACTTTGAAGAGAAAGCCACCATGCGGGATGCTAAGATGGCCCGTGGATCTCGGACTAGCTGGATTACTCTCACATCCAGGCGAGGATCCTCCACCAAAGGCTGCAAGGTGTCCAGCTGACGCACACGGACAGTTTTAATGGCGTGGTGTTGCTTGGAGAGGCAGGATTCAGACGCAAGGGTCAAGTTCAGCGGCCCACAGCGACGAGTCTTACAGTGATACCTAAGACAAGAGTGGTAGAGTTTGTGTATGGTAATGCATCTTTCATAGATATCTTTCATACAGTTGCAAAGAGGAAGGGGCAGTATTTCTATAATTTTTTGCCTCTAGGTCATCCCATACAAGAGGACTGAAATTATTCCTCACTCTTTGCAACTGTATCACAGTTCAATTCTAGTTCATTTTTCAGAATGGATCTACATTGTAAACTTGATCAACAGGGAGTTTCTAGAGAATTTACAATACCTTTCAAAAACATCTTTGATTACAGGACTGCAGACAGATTCTCCACAGAGCGATAAACTAGACTCTCTGCGGAAAAGAGCCGGGGAAACGTGGTCCTGAGGTGGGGGAGAGATGAACTTCTCCAGGGAAGAGAAATCACACAGGAAGAGCCCCTGGAGTACATCCCGGTAGATTCCTGCCAACACTGTTCCATTGTTTGACTCCGAGGCCGTGGTCAGCATGCGCTCGACGTGCCACAAAGGCTCAAACAGGTAGAACATGTTCTCCCCGTGCTGGTTGAAAAATTCCCCCACAAAAGAGGAACCTGTTCGCGTGGTGGCCATGAGCAATATGTGCTTATGGCCACCGCTCAAGCTGTATGTGCCCAAGTCATCGAGCTCTTCCTCCTCTTGCTCCTCGGAGAGACTTAAGTAATTCAGTTTTACACCGGTGCGTTTAGAGAGCAGCATTTTGAGCATCGTCAGGGAGCCATTTTGTGTTGTGTTGCTGTAATCCAGTGGAGTCTGTGGGGTCTGCTGTGGTATCTGCCTCTGGATCAGTTTATCAGAGACCCTGAAGAGATAAAGAGGCTGGATTAGCAGCATAAAAGAGATAGGTCTTATATTTTATATTTAGCTGACACTTTGACATGGAGCTACTGTATGTTTGAGTTACAGCAACAGACCCAGATGATCTCTGTCCTTAAAAGGAATAGATGGTTATTATGGGAAACAAATAGATTCACTGTCTTTCTGAGTTACATGAAAAGAGCAATATCATTATCATATGAGAGTGGTATCAATCTCATCATATAACTCAGCAGAGAGTCAATAAGCGTATTTAAATACATGACATTTGGATTCATGATAGCAGCAGTAATGGGTGAAGGTAAGCAGAATATCTATTTTGGTCAAAACATCTGACAGTGACAAAACAGACGGCACAGATGTTTTTCTCAAGTGGTAATTCTTAAATCGCAGAAGTATGGCTATATCTAAAGAATACATTTTTCCTGTGACTTATTGACAGATTGTTGTTTATTCTCTCTTACCTTGATAGGATGTTGCTTTCCTTTTCGATGATGACCAGGGCCACGATACAGATGAAGACAATTGCATATTTGGTCTTCATTCTTGAGTCCTGGCTTTGTAACTGGATGTCTAGAGTCTAGTCTGCGTGCTGGTCATGGCTTGTCATGCAGAGGCTAAAGCTGCATTCTGCAATAAGAAAGACACTTCAGTAAAGACAGAGCATGCAAAATAGATGTGATTCCTGCTTTAAGATGACGCTTAACATACTGTGTATCATTATCCTGCAAACTGTGTTTGGCGCAAACCTTGAGAACACTTTCACAGGTAAAAACTGAATAAGAAGACATGAAAATATATATGTCCAGCACTACCATGAAATCATACAACAGACAAATTGTATTAAGTCGAAGGCATGAACCATGAAAAAATGGGAGAGGACCACTAAAAATCTTAGCTCAAAACAACAGTTGCATTGATCTGAAACCAGAGGAATGTCCCGCAGTTTGTGCAACACGCTGCTTTTTTAAGCTTGTTTGCCTCTTAGAAACCCAGAGAAAGACGGCATTGCTTCTTGGTCAGGCTTGGGTCAGTGATGAAGAAGAAGACGGATGAGAGGGAGGGAGTTACTGTAAACAGAACTGGTTTTCACTGTGAGCTCTTCCACATGGCACTGAGTCAGCGGGCATGGTAAAAATGTTTTCAAGCGCTGTGTGATTTCAACACCCCAGTCTCTTTTCACATGAAGAAGTGAGTCAGTTGCACCGTTGTACAGGTACACACAGAAGTAACAGTGTTGGAAATCAACAGATTTGCAACATTTCTAGGGAAATGTGAAGTTGCAAGCCTCACCATGTTGACAGTCAAGTGATCTTTAGATGCATAATTTAATTGTTAATCAGCAGAAAGATGCTGGGCAAGACAGAGCTTGGTCATTAAACGTAGTACAGTGGAAATGTTTATAGTCATCACCACTGTCCGGGTCACTACTGGCGGATGACTGTTGTGACTGTTTCTCGTTGTTTGAGTGAGGTAGCCTGAGGAACAAGTTGCACTGGTGCATCTGTTTTTGGCAGTTTGCCATTCATTTTGAGCAGACTGTTTTTAATTTATAGAAGAAAAAAAAAAGGTTCCTTTTCCTGTCATAATTAAAATGTCCACGCAACACCAGCCTCAGGTAGCCAACCAGAAGCAGACGGGTTACCATGAGGCATAGTATCGCGGGAGTTAAGTTTGAAAAAATAGAATAACATCTTTATCCACACGTTGTCACGTATGAAAAGAGCTAAAATGAACACTGTACGTGGACTACTTGATCACTATAAGCGGTTTCCACTGTCGTATCCGTCCCATCCTTTTGGGAGTATTGTGTTACTCTGCCACAAAGACTATCAAAGCAACCTGAACTCATACATATTGAGGCAAATCAGTTAAGGAAGACAAGCCACATTTAAGTAGCCTCGCATTGGTGCCACATTGCTCCTTCGAAGGACTTTTGAACAAATTAACTATTCCGACATCATTTTGAAATGATTCAGTATAACAAATTTCTTAATTCCGAATACATTGTCAATTTCCATGTTACTGAAAAATAAGTGTAGACCCCCCCCCCCCCCCCCGTCCACACACACACACACACACACACACATGCCATTTGGACCTGTCAAGGCGGTGAATAATTTCTACAAAGCATATCATTAGGGGAAAAGGACACAGTTTTGTGGAGGGATTGTGTGCTCTGTAAGTAAATATCACCCAATTATCTGAGCTTAATACACCATAGCCGTCAAACTGTCAGGCTGAAGCACTTGAGCTGAGCACTTTTACATATTCAAGAGTCACTGGAGCGCTTGGCAAATCTGACTATCTACTCAAGCAGAAACGCACATCACTCTGTTTATCATCTCACTACAAATTACATTAATGGCTGCCTTCAAAGGCTTGAAGCTGCATCTCATGGAGACACTGGAAAGCTAAATTCTCACTTAAGGCTTTGCTGTTCGTCCAATGAACAATTATAGGCAAATACTGAAAACCGTTTCAATCTGTACTGTTCATCATTTCCATGTGATTCATTGATTTTAGTTTGGATGTCATTTGGAAATAACGAAACCTACCCCCTATATATGTGTATGTGTGTGTGGGGGGGTCTGTATGGTGCCTATTGAATACTATAGCCGTCATTAGGGGGGAGGGGGCATTCAATTCAGGAGCATTACCAACCACTGAACCAGAATGAATCCAGACTAATGAACACTTCTGCTTACTATATTAGTCTCCGATGCTTTCGAATATCCAACATTCAATCTGGAAAAAAATGGTTCTCTGAGTAACTAACTTCAATCTAGAGGGAGTTATTGATTGTAGGAGACAGCGGCAGCCTCCGTATCCGTGCAATCATTGTTTATACCTGCACCATATCAGAAATGCACATCACACATGCGTGGTTTGAGAGCAGTGGGGAATAGTGACAGACTTCATCGTTATTCATATCGCGTTTTTCGTGCATGGCAGCAGGATGCTTTCAGTCTCTACCGTGTGGCTCTGTCGGTTCTTGTTTTTTAAGCTTTGAGATATTTCCTGCCAGAAAAAAAACGAGATGTGGTGATGTTCGTGCATCGGTTGTTACAAACCTTTAGCTGATCTCTCTCTCTCTCTCTCTCTCTCTCTCTCTCTCTGCAATCGAGCAAAAACGTCCCTGACCTTGTGAGAAACAGTGTCGTTCCCCTCGTAGCATCTTGCTGCATTGTGTCGGAGAAGGACACACTGCTTCATTGTGTCCTCGGACGCGGGCTCCTCTCCTCTGCCGGATGAATGAGAGGCAGCGCGGAGGCACGGACGTCTTGCAGAAACACCGACATTAAAGGAGGTGCAAACGGACGGCGAGCGGAAATTTAAAAAAAAAATGGTATTGCAATTTTGATTAAATATGGAGTTAAAAAAGCAACAACTCTGTGCCACAGAGGCAATTGTTGAAATCCCCGTCAACCCGACAGATAGATGCACTAATTTGCCTTAAAATCAGTTTCAATATCATCGCTTCTAAAGTTTCCCCAACTTTCCCCACGTGCTGGATGCCACTGCGCGAGCGAGCCGACTGTAGCCACGCTTCGCGTCCCCCCTCTCTCTCTGCGTGGGACATCCTGTGTAGGCGAGGTCACGTGATCCCCAAAACACCCTGCAATTATGTATAAAGACCCCCTTTGTTTGTACACTGTTTTAGGTATTTAAATGTCATTTAATTGCACGTTGTGAATGTTGCAACCGAAAATTTAGTCAAGTTAAAAAGACAATAGTGTACCCGGTTAATTTAGGAATGTTTGTCATAAAATAATACAATGTCTGTTTATCCCTGCGTGAAGCACATGTCACATAACCGATTCACACATCCTAAGACAGAGCAACACAGTTTAGCCTCCTAGAGTACAAAATATTGCTATCTTAATCTTAACATTGGCTAGTTGTGTTGGTAAGACATGAATAAACATATACTGTGGTGGGAAAATTACATTTTGAAATTTAAAATGTATTTTCCAAAGGAAAGTTAAATAACAAACTTAAAAACAAAACGGCAAAAATATGACAACAATAAAAACAATTTTCCCTCAACATCTTTGGCTTTCAGTTTTACTTTATAACATTCTTCATTGCTCATGACTTGGACATTTGTGCTGACTGCACCCCTGTTGACCTTGTAAAATAAGATATCTACTTGGATTTGAAGAATGTGAAGCGACGTGCTTCACATTGCACAATGAACCTTGAAGTTCTCTAATTTGGTCCAATGTTTTTATCATGTACATATATTGGTCCTTACAAATCCAGATTAATAATTAATTTCTAAATATTTCCAGACATTCACTAGAAGTGTTTCACCACTTGAGGGCAGCAGTGTAAAGGAATGGAGCCAGCTGGAGCAGCGTATCAGAGATGGGCTGTCTGCCTGAGAGCACAGGCTTAGTTTTAGCACCAGAAGCCAACATGATGTGTGTCAGCATCACTTTTTTTTAGCTATAAAGTGTATCAAATATGTTGCTGAGGTTCCAGTGACAACCACTACCAAGGCCTGAGGGTTTTGTTGTTGTTTTGTTTCTGCTGGTGCGGTCTTTTCAATCCATGATGATTCCTGCAGAAGTGTGTCATGTCTTTTAGGATTTTGCATAGTTCATGGCTCCGTATTGACGCTGCTAGCACTCTCCGAGGTTTATGAAATGAAAGGGCTGTTAACCTACAGTATACTCTACATGGAGAGATTAAAGGAGTGACCTAGTTTTAGAGTGGACCGGGCCTAAAAGCGAACCTCTGCCCTTGGCAAACCGCACTGGAGATTATCAATAATAATCCAAAATGGTAAAGCTGAATTGGGTGTCTTGACAACAGGTACTCTAACAGACAGATCCTAGTCACACACTGTAGGTTACAAACTATTCAAAGTTTCCTTTTCTATTTTGGACCTGGTAAATCTAATTTTTTCAGAAACAAATATTTAAATTTATAATTTTACCAACACTGTACACTATGAAAACATTGGTTATTTAGAATGGAGACATATGATTGATATACCGATGCTTTTTCACATACACGATGGACATATTTTTGGTATGATTAGGACTCTTGTAATCCAAAATGTTCTTGATGTCATAGTGAAACGATTATTTGGTAGTCTGCACACCCTCACGTTTCAGAGATATAAACATGACTGGAGCCAAACTAATTCCGTTTGCAGCTCTCTCTGTCAACATCACTTTTTGAAGAATAGCCAAAAACGTGCTCTCAACTTCAACCACGTAACGTTATCATACACAGCAAACCCAAATGTCGCTGAGGGAAACATTTTCTCAACCATGTCTTTTGGAGTTAAAACACATTTAAATGCTTCAGCATTTATTATATCATGAGAAAATAAACAAATATGGTACACAATTGTTTTTGGTTGATTTAAAATAACACAGTATTTTTAAAATGTACTGGCTCATATCTTTTGAAGGCTTTTTCTCTTTAACCAGGCACTTGAGTGCCTGAAATAGATATATTTTTATGCCACAGCCCACCCATTGATGAGTGCACACATTGTTTCTTTCCTTACAATTTAAATAAAACAACTTCTTGCAGAAAAGGCCAGGAAAGGCAACTTTATTTATTCAGCACATTTCATACACAGGATAATGCAAAGTGCTTAATGTAAGTCACTGAGACAAAAAAGGGAAGACAATAATAAAGTAAAATATAATGAAAAACAGAAAAAACAGAATAGATGAATAGATGAAAGAAGAACACTTTTAATTAGTGTGTAATTAAAAGTGATGGCAGACAAACATTATTTGCTTGCATTTGAAAGTATCAATTTTAAAGAAAGTCTGAGATCCACTAGAAGTGTTAACCAGGTATGTACAGCAGAGTAGCTAAAAGCAGGTGCACCATGTTAGGATATAATGAACAGTCCGGTGCCAGCTAACCTGAGAAATTGAGCTGTGTTGGAGCAGAACTCATTCAAGTGTTTTAGTCCCAAAGACAGATGACTGCTGCTCTCGTCATACAATTGTCTTGTGATGCAGCAAAGAAGGAAACGTGTATGTAGATAGATAGATACTTTATTAATCCCGCAAGGGGACATTTTTATGCTACAGCAGCATTTATAGATACAGGTAAAGCAATAAAAATAACACAGTAAAAATATAAAATATAACATATATATACAATATGTACAATAAAATAGAATAATATTAAATGATCGAACTAAACATGATTCGAGACATGGTGCATTTGTGTCAGTGGCTGGTCTATACTAATACCGTCAGGATACACTGAGACCACTCAACGTAGTTTTGTCTATTGATGACAATAATCCAGATGAAATGACGCGCATGCAGCAGCAAGCTGAAGTGATGAGCATCTCCCTGAAATTTCCCTATGGGCAGCCTCGTAGCTCCGTCCCCAACAGGAACAAAGAGGTCAGCATGCCGCTGTGATTGAAGGCACAGGATTAGAAACTAAGAAGATGACTACAGATGAGCAGTGAGCTTTTATCCTTATGATTTTTTGCAGTAACCCGTGCAAAGACACTTTCACATTTAAGCTTCAGTGTCAGGTATTACAATAGAATGTATACACTGGCACACATCTGAAGGTTTAAACATTTCTTAACAACGGTCCGCTTAACTCTGACAGATGATAAAGAAAAGACCATGTTTTTGTAAACTCACATAATGTTGCACACTATATGCAACATATCCACCAATGGAAGGTAACATTGTGTGCGCTGATTGTGCTTTACATGTATCTCTTATGGAGCATGTGTGCTACAGACAGGCTCTGCGTATTACAAGATGAGGAGAGATTAGAGCACAGTGGGTTAATCTATCGGCCAGCCATCTGGACCATGAGAATTAAACCTGAAGCCACGGCCTTGACCACCAACATACATAAGTAACTTGACAGGTGATCTTTTCTGGTGAATATGTTGTATGCCCATTGTGTAAAAGTTATGTATATTCTGCTTCAAAGGGCATACAAATCATTGATTTGCCTTTGAATATGTTGCCGTGAATATAATTCGTGCAGCGAGCATTCA